CCTTTTTGGATGAGCTCTTTGGCAAGGCGATGGAGAACTAACTTGTCAACTGCTAGATGACATCAAACTGAGAGAACTAGTGAATCTAGTAACAGGATCAAGATCCTGAGAGATGGGGGCAAGTGGCTTAAGAAGTCACTTCTGCTTCTTGGATAAGATAATGAATGAGGTAATAGAAAGCAAGGTGATTAAATAGTACCAAACTGACAGAAATGGTAGATGTGTATTTCTCATCCAAAACAGAGTAAGAAATATGCAAAAGTCTAAATTCAATGAGATAATATTCAACACAGATAAGTATAACATATTATCATCAAGTCTAACCATTAATGGGTAATTCGATGGGTATCATCAAGTTTAGCTACTAATGGGCCAACTACTAATGGATTTCTTTTTGGGGTCATGAAGGTGTTCTGGAAGTAGACAGTGGTGATGGTTGCACAATAAGTAAATATACTAAAACCACTGAACGGTACCTTTTAATAAAAATGGTGACTTTTACATTATTTGAATTTTATCTAATTAAAATATAATTTCAAAATGTTTTATATATCATATATTATGTCAGACACATTAACATCCACAAATATTTAACACTAATACCATAAGAAGATTGGCAATACTGTCAAGTAGTATCGTGTACAATTGTACAATACACCAGAGGCCTGGATTAATAAAGCAAATTGTTAAAAATAAAGTAACGAGGCTGGGCACAGTAGCTCACTCCTGTAATCCCAGCACTTTGGGAGGCGAAGGTGAGTAGATCACCTGAGGTCAAGAGTTCAAGACCAGCCTGGCCAACATGGTGAAATCCCATCTCTACTAAAAATATAAAAATTAGCTGGGTGTGGTGGCACATGCCTGTAGTTCCAGCTACTCAGGAGGCTGAGGCAAGACAATCACTTGAACCCAGGAGGTGGAGGTTTCAGTAAGCCGAGATCACGCATTACACTTCAGCATGGGTGACAGAGTGAAACTCCGTGACAAAAACAAACAAACAAAAAGCAATGGATTAATCATTCATTCCTCACTAATTTACTGCATGCTTAGTTGGCCCCAAGCACTGTGTTAGGTGCAACAGATACAAAGGGTGAACAAGATATAATCTCTATCATCATAGGACTTCCATCAAGCAGGGGAGCTTGACATTAAATGAACATAACTCGAATAAATATAACAACTGTAATGAGGAACCTAAGAGGAAAACACAAGGTCTTATGATGAAACACAACAGGCAGATCTGATTTAGATGGAGGAGTTGAACAACAGCCTGTGAAATCACAATTTCAAACTAGAAGGATGAAGTATTTAGCCAGGTGAAGAGTGGGAATTAATGTTCCCCGAGATTGAACAACAGTGCAAAAGTCCTGAGGCAGAAAACAACTGGTCCTGTGGGAGAACTCTGTGAAGGCAAGTTGTATCAGAGGGTAGTGAATAAGAAGACTGTCACAAAACAAGGCTGGAGAAATAGGAAGGGCTCAGTCTACACAGGGCCTTACAAGCCATTCTGGGGATTCTCACTTCATATCCTGAGTACAAAGGAAAGCTACCTAGGAATTTTAGCAGGGAAGTGGCATGATACATTTGAGACATAAAAGCACCACCCAGGCTCCTCTGTGAAAAAGGGATTCAAGAAAAGCAAAAAAGTAAATGAGGAGACCAATCAGGGTCAGACTAGAGGGTAGGTGTAGAAAGGAAGAGAAGAGATTTACAACATCTGTTTTGGAGGTTATCACGTATTCTATTTCATAACTCAAATTTACACGTGGGAAAAATGCCTTCCAGAAAGACCAAAGTATACAAAGTAGAGATCACTTACCAGGATCCTGGACACATTCACCTGAATCCAGTACCAAACTAAATCCTACAAACACTTCACGCTACTTCCAGGAGTCCTGAAGTCTTTTCATTTAATTAAGCAGTACTTGAACCCAATTTATGCCTAAGCTTCCAGCTTAGAGTGGTAAAGGAAGCCAGAGTTTTTTTTCAGAGTGGTAAAGGAAGTTTTCAGAGTGGTGAAGGAAGCCAGAGTTTTCAGAGTGGTAAAGGAAGCCAGACAGTGAAGTAGAAACCTAGAAGTTAACTGGGATGAGTACAGGTAATACTTGGTGTCCCTGCTTTAATTCAACTGCAAGCCAGCTTGTCCTTAGAACTTTTTTCCTCTCTAGAGGAACCACTCTGGAAGAGAAACACTCTGCTTAGCATATGCTCTGTTAAAGGCTTCAGTTAAACACACACACACCCTCAGAAAGAAATATGTACAAAGCATTCCAGATTATGCATGTGCATCTGTCTCCTTAAATTGCACTCCAGAGACTAAAGCAGAACACAGAGGCTGCCATGGATATTACACAGTCTACAGTCAGTGAATGAATGACTTCCATTGTTACAGAAAAGTAACTGTATGTTATACATGCATACAATTCTTTTCCTCTTAAAATAAAACTCTACTGCCCACATGGTAAATATTGCTTTAAACACACAATGGGCCAAATAAACACACTTTGTATATACTCCTTGCAAACCCAAGACATGAAACCATGAAATCGAGGGAAATTTACCTATAGTTTCACCAGAGTATAATGGAAGCAAATAATAAGATGAATATGACTAGTAACAACTACATATTTAACTCTGCATGCTCCTTAAGTAATCTTGTTCTCTTTTTCATTTAGACTGTTAAAATTAACTTTGCTCTTAAAAATGTAAAACAAAAGGAGGAAGTTATTTAACATCCAGGAATCATTTATCTTTGTTATTCTTTTCAGCTTCTTTAGAGTTGTAATTATTTATTACAATATATATTTATACAACTACATGACCACCTTCGAAAATGCTCCTAGTCCTTCTTAAGTCCTTCCATGTTAAGACGGCTTCCCTTGCCCTTGAGGGCAGAGCTGATCCTCTAGCCAGTCTCCCCTTCTACCCATCGCACCTTGCACATGTCTCTATCATACACTGACATATTTACAACTGCCTCCCCTTCAGACTGTGAATTCCTGGATGTTCCCAGCACTCAACACAGAGCCTGGCACATGAAAGATTCTAAATGCTTGTGGAATAAAATAAATGAATAAATGAATCAGATCCATCCAACCTCTGTAATTTCTAATTTTTTTCACTGGCATTATCCCAAATGTTAATGACCCATCCAATTCAATAACACTTCAGACAATTTTCTATTTCCCCCCAATTTCTTCCCATTTCCAGATAAATGGAGATTTCTGACTTGAAGTACTGCACTGCTTAGAGAGTATCGATAAACACCAATTTTAAGAGTAAGTGAAAACATTTCTTGCGACTCAGGTTTACGTGTGACTTTGTGCCACCGTCTTTGTATACAGAAAAGGCCTTGTCTCCCCAAATTCATATTCCGAAAGTGGCATCCACTGCCATGTCACCCTATCATTCTTGCTATTGACATCCACATCAGATATCACTTTTACAAAGGACCTGCCTCATCATAAAAGAACAAAGAATGCCCTTGGCAAGGGCAGAGTCCATGAGTTAAATTTGTCCTTCTGAAATAAATTATTTAGTACCACTTAAACTCTGAAAGCTTTGAGCCACCTATCCTGTGGTTTATAGCACTGTCTTCTAAGTTTACAATTTCCTGATTGTGAAAGGACAATTTAATCCCCTAGTGCAAAATCAATACAATTTAAATTTACTGTTGGAACTGACATTCTCCAGCAAACTAAAAGACTTCTTCTTCCAATGACATGAGATAATTTTAAACTGCTTTTACAAAAAAGTACTCAGGAACTATTCCAAAATTTAGGAATGAATTCTTGCTGGATATAAAGCAACTGCCCCTACCCCTCTTAAATGAGTGGGCTGACCTAAGTTTGATCTGTTACGGGCCTACATTTCAAATGGAAGTTCTTCCAGGAAAAGGCAAGGAGCTGTGGTGGTAGTAACAACAGATAGCAAATAGGATTTCAAAATATATTTTCAGTCCTTTAGGGTTTTTATTAGGCAGCAAAGTCGATCATCATTTTCATTCTAAATTAGATTATCAGTACAACTACTGATACATCAGTTAACGTTTCCAATGTTAATTTACTGGACTGATCAGGGACCATTCGCTTCTATTGATTAGCAAAAGCTGGTGTTGTTTAAAACACACCAGTGCGTGACGAATCCATAAGCTGCATCTTTTTCTCTAACGAACAAAACGCTGGAAAGGGCAACAACCATCATTCAACCTACAGTGAATATTGATCATCCCTTCTGTGTAAGGCTCCTTGCAGCTGCTACAGTGAGGATAAGGATGGTGACTGAAAAGGCCGAGTCGAGTGGGCCTGATCCCCTAGATTTAACAAGCTTCCAGGCGCAGGAGCCCATCTGCCTGCAGCTCGTTTTCCTTCCACCTGTCACCGAAAGGCTTGTTTCCCTTTCAACTGCTCTGAGCAGCCAACAGCTAAAGGAAAAAGCCTCGCGCCAGGAGAAAGAAGCGTTGATCAACAGCCAGTTGCTAGCAGACAACTGAGGTTCCCTCCCTTCCACCCCTGTGTCTACTGTGCGCCCCCAAACCAAGAGGTCGGACCCAGCAGCAGCTAAGGCTAGGCCTGGGAGGCAGCAAGAAAACGGTCAGGCTCGCGGGACCCTGAGATGCTCAGGCGCTCCCAGCTCCTCCCTCGCCCGCGGTCCAGGCTCTGCCGGCGCCTGGCAGAGCGGTCGGCCTCCGCGCGCTCAGCATCCCTCCTCCTCCTCCATCTCCTCCCGTCCCTCCTCCTCCCGTCCTGGTGCCACCAACCTTGGGCGTGCGGATGTGCTCCATGGCTGGCCCACGTCTGCAAGGTCCGCGACGGGCGCGGCTTCACGCACCTGCGTGCGTCTGCGACGCGACGGGAGGGGAGCCAGGAGGGGGCTTCGCGCCCGGGAGTGGGCGGAGCGCGGGCTTGGCTCCGCCCCCAGGTGCGCCTCGCGCGGCTTGCGGACCCTGGGCTCCCGCGCGGCCCTAGAGAGAGCATCTCTGCGCCTGCGCCCACCTGCGCCGCCGCCGCGCCGCTCCTCTGTCCGAGTCGCACGGGCCAGGGCCTCTCGCTCCCTCCTAAGAGGGGCAGCCGGCGCAGCACTGTACGGCCACTGTTCCCCAAGACACAAAGAGGGCCTTGTGTTGGGTGTGGTCTCTTGGAAGAGAGATGGGGAAGTACACGCTGCTCCACACCGCCCCTGGGTTTCCTTCCAGGGCGTCCCAAGAAGGTGGGATTTCAGGGTGGGGCGGAAAAGAAGGCTGCCACAGACACTCTAGAACCAGGACGGTCTCGTGGGCTCGAGGTGTGTGTTTCAGCCCAGGCGCAGCCGGCATAGCACTGGGGGTGCGGGTGGAAATAATAGCAGCAGTGTTAGCGCCCTGCTAAGTGCGCTAAGTCAGGCATCTCACATCCACCTGCGACTTCACTGTTGCAGGCGAACTTTTCCCTTGGCACGCGGTTGGGTGTTAATTTGCTATCTTTATTTAGCTCCAACTCAACTGGGAGATAGAGATACAAAGCATCCATTATGCGGTACCATTTCCCTACTTAATGATATTAACAGCAGTTAGTGCCATAGTTAGTATTTAGACCCTTGGGAAGAGCCAAACAGAGGAACGTCCTCTACTTTTTTTTTCTTGCACCCCTAAGAGTACAATGTTCCACCATAACTAAAATTTTATAGAACATTACATAGTTCTTGGAATATATGTTCAATTTTTTCTTCCTCTTATCTTTCAGGCCAGATTGTGATTTTTTTTTTTTTTTCCCCGTAGAGACTCTGCTTATCTCTTTTTGTTCAATGCCTGGACATATTGCAGTATTACGACAAATAATGTGGTATTGAATTTCTTTTAAAAATTCCAGAGCCCTCTTTCACACATCTTCTGCCATTTAATCCTCCTACTACTTTGGGAGGCAATTAGGACTAGCACTATAAACCACCATTTGCATATGTTGTGATTGACCCAGGGCATAGTTTCTCCTTTGCCGACGAACAGCAGGAATAGAGTCAAGAGTGCTCTGGTGCCAACTCACACACCGGCCTCGGTCTCCTCGTTTATAAAACTAAAATCGCCTGCCCAGATAATCTCAAAGTTAGCTATCATCTCCAAATTCTTTCAATACAAAGAATCTTAAGTACTTTTGTGGAGGGGAACATTCTAAACAGGCAAATAACATTGAAATTTTGTGCTTTCAGGGTTCTGTTCTTCTACTGGTGAGTTGATTAAAAGTCTACTTGGTGAGTAATTTTTGCATGAAAGTGTCTCTGGCCTGTTGTTTATTATAATAGGTTTTTTTTAAAAACACTAGTTGGTAGATGAAGAGAGGTAAGTCTGAACAATTTAGCCTAATGTTAAGATATTACATCACAAACTGTGTTGATCCCTAACAACCACAAAGAGCCTTCTGGTACTTATGGTATTATATAGCCCCCTAAACTTCCTTGCTGTTCCAACACCACCTAATAGGGCAGAAGAGATTGAAAAAGTAGCAAGAATTGGAGGGCAGTAAGGTGAGAGAGTGGAGAGTATATTGTTGAAATGGTTGGCTATATTCATCCTAAGTAGAGAGAAAAGGAAAACTGACCATTCAATTACTTAGAAAATACTACTCAAGGTATGATGGCAAATCCTGGAAGATTGAAGGGAGTCCCAGATAAGAAGGACATTAAGCCCTGTAATTGTGATATGGCCAACACCACGGAAGTAAAAGGCAGACCAATTAAGGTGGTGACAGAGCGTGGAGAAATGCGAAAGAAAGCCTCAAGAAGAATGGTCTACTTTCTGCCTTTCTCCTATTACTTTCGAGAAAAATCAATGGATAGACTTAGGATCATGTACTTCTTGAAGTTTGATATTTGTTGTGTCTAAAATGAACCGTAGTCCAGAAGGATGAATATTGCGTCTCTGCGTCTTCACAAAGCAGAAATCTCTCCATCTGGCCCCAGACCAAGAAATGAGAAGGAGAGAGAAAAAAAGCTTATCCTTCCAACTCTATGTAATTTGCAGATGGAGCCACGCTCAGATTTATACCAAATCAGCCTATGTACACAGAATTGGAAAATGGCTATTTTTTTTTCTCTACTATTTGTGACTCTTGGATAGAAAATAAGTGCATTTCAACAAAGCTATTTTTTCCATCAAGCAAAATATCAGACAATAGAATTAAGATCTAGTTACCTGCATGTCCACCAAACTGCTTCTTCCCTTGTCAGGACACATTGTAGTTGCCCTCATTTTATCATCAGTGTCTGGGATTTTTGCCTCGGGAAATGGTAGGTATTACTGTATACATCTATATTTAACCCTTCTATCCTACCTGGGAACACAGGGACTACCCAACCCCCTTGCTATTGAATGGGGCCATGTGACTGGTTGTGGCCAATGGACTGTGGAAGTGGCTTTTGTCAATTCTGGGCCAAACCCCTACAAAGCCCCTGTGTGGCCCTTTACTTCTCTCTTCCCCGTCTTGATGATATGGAGGTCACATGTTGAGATTAAAGTGAAAAGGCTGGGTGTGGTGGCCTACGCCTGTAATCCTAGCACTTTGGGAGACCAAGGAGGGCAGATCACCTGAGCTCGTGAGTTTGAGACCAGCCTAGCCAACGTGGTAAAACCCCATCTCTACTAAAAATGTGAAAATTAACTGGTCATGGTGGCGTGCACCTGTAATCCCAGCTACTCAGGAGGCTGAGGCAGGAGAATTGCTTGAACCTGGGAGGCAGCAGACGTAGTGAGCTGTGATTATGCCACTGCACTCAGGCCTGGGCAACAGAGTGAAACTCTGTTAAAAAGAGAGACAGAGAGAGAGAGAGAGAGAGAGAGAGAGAGAGAATAATGATAATGAATTTTCTACTTAGAGAGAGAGAGACAAAATAATGATAATGAATTTTTTATTCATGTTTGAAGTAACTGTGGCCCCAAACTATTCAGCATTGGAATGAAATGAGACAAGATTAGCTTACATTGTTACAAGAACTACTGTGGAAAGCCACAGCTGATTCTTTTGTGAGTGAAAAGAACACTTTTTAATTGTTGTTGTCACATAAAGCCACTGAGCTTTAAAGCTTCATTTAGCCTCGCCCACCTTTCTGGACTATGGTTCATTCCAGACACACCAAATATCAAACTTCAAGAAGTACATGATCCTAAGTCTATCCATTGATTTTTCTCGAAGTAATGGGAAAAAGGCAGTAAGTAGGCTATTCTTCTTGAGGCTTTCTTTAGTATTTCCACATGCTCTGTCACTACCTTAGCTGGTCTGCCTTTTATTTCCTTGGTGTTGGCCATATCACAATTACCAGATTTAGCATCCTTCTTATCTGGAACTCCCTTCCAGTATTTGCCAATGTAGCCTATACTATATTGAAGTGGAAAGAGAATTTGAGAGAGAGTGAAAATAATACACTGTCTCTACCTTTGTCTTCATGATTTTTTTTTAAAGAGGGAGTTGATAATGTCTTTAAATATCTCTAGGGACACTTACCCATGTTAGAGACCTAAACTACTTGATTGTAAGTTGCCAAAGATCCTCTAGAGAATATCTTCTTATGCAACTTTTATCACGTAGATAATTCAGTTGCAAATACTATTGCTAAAAGAATTTTAAAATAAAAACTTGGTATTAACTGGGCACTTTCCCAGAATCCTATTATTTTCAATAGCCTGAGGAGAGTATCAAAAACACTTGCAAGACTTTTTCCAGAATACTTACATTTCTCCTGAGGCAACTCAAACTTCTGATTTGGCAGTGAAACCAAAACGTGTTTCTTTGGGGATGGTATTGCTAATGATTACAAACTCAATATGATCCTATTCTGCGTAATTAAACCCAAGTGGACCATATTATGAGTGGAGGAGGGAACATATCTCTGAGCAAGCTCAGCCTCATCTGGAATTACTCAGTATGATAGGCTCAGAGCTGCATTTGGGGTTCTGCCTCGCAAAAAAATAAAAGCATCTCTTCCTTCAGGATTTGTATAAACTGATGATACAATGTATCAATGTCTTGCTGGCCTTGCCCTGTGACAAAGATGTGGAGGAAAAGCACTCAGTGGATTGCAGTCAGCTCTGCCCTTTTTCTAGGAGCCAAAAGGAAATTCTAGGGCAGCAAGAAAAGAGTATTTACTCAACAGTCAAGGCTTTAAAATAGCCTCCTCCCAAAACTATGAAGCTGCTGGGGTAAAACATAGGGGAAACTCTTCAGGACATTGGTCTGGGCAAGAATTTTTTGGGTAAGAACTCAAAAGCACAGGCAACAAACGCAGAAAGAGACAAATGGGATTACATTAAATTTAAACGCTTCTATACAATAAAGGAAATAACAGAGTGAAGAGACAACCTACAGAAGGTGAGAAAATATTTGCTAACTATGTGCATTTGCCAAGGGGTTAATATCCAGAATATATAAGGAATTCAAACAACTCAACAGCAGAAAAACCAAATAGTCTAATTTAAAAATGGGCAAAAATCCTGAACAGAGATTTCTCAAAATGAGACATACAAATGACCAACAGGTCTCTGAAAAAGTACTCAATATCGTTAATCATGAGGAAAATGCAAACCAAAACCACAGCGAAATATCACTTCACTCCAATCAGAATGACTATTATCAAAAAGATAATAGTCATAATAACAAATGATGGCAAGGATGCAGAGAAATGGGAGCCCTTATGCACCGCTGGCAAGAATATAAATTAGTACAGCTATTATAGAAAACAGTATAGAGCTTCCTCAAAAATTAAAAGTAGAACTACCATATGTTCTAGCAATCTCACTAGTGGGTATTTATCCAAAGGAAATGAAATCACTTTGTTGAAGAGATAGCCGCCCTCCCATGTTTGCTGCAGCACTAGTCACAATAGCCAAATATGGAATCAACCTAAGTGTCCATCAATGGATGAATAAAGAAAATGTTGTAGAGATACATAGTGAAATACTATCCAGCCATAAAGAATGAAACCCTGTCGTTGTGACAATATGGATGAACCTTTAGGACATTATGATAAGTGAAATAAGCAGGGCACAGAAAGATATATACTCTGTGATCTCACTCATTTGTGGAATCTTAAAAAGCTGATCTCATAGATGTCCAGAGTAGAATACTGGCTACCAGAAGCTGGGAAAATAGGGGAGAGGTGGGTATGTGAAGGGATTGGTCAGTGAGTACAAAATTACAGTTAGATGAATGGAATAAGTTCTGGTCTTTTATTCCATAGTATAGTGACTGTCGCTAACAATATTGCATTGTATATCTTAAAGTAACCAAAAGAGAGGACTTTGAATGTTCTCACAACAAAGAAATGATCAATGTTTGAAGTGATGGATATGCTAATTACCCTGATTTGATCATCACACAGTGTATACATGTATCAAAATATCACACCGTATCCCATAAATATTTGCAATTATATGTTGATTAAATATAAGACTAAAACATTTTAAAATAAAATATTTTAACATTTAAAAATAATTAAAGTAACAATAAAATAGTCTCCTGTATTTTGTTCTCGCTCTAGGAGCGCACACCGCCCAAGTTCAAGTCTGTGTCATCAGGACACTGATTTTTTTTTTTTTTTTTTTTTTTGAGATGGAGTCTCACTGTTACCCAGGCTGGAGTGCAGTGGCACCATCTCAGCTCACTGCAACCTCCGCCTCCTGGGTTCAAGCAATTCTTGTGCCTCAGCCTCCCACATAGTTGGGTTACATGCACCTGCCACCATTCCCAGCTAATTTTTGTATTTTTTAGTAGAGACAGGTTTCTGCCATGTTGGCCAGGCTGGTCTTGAACTGCTGACCTCAAGTGATCCACCTGCCTTGGCCTCCCAAGTGCTGGGATTACAGGCATGAGCCACTGCACCCAGCCAAAACACTTATTTTGCTTATTCCCTTCCAACTTCTATCCTTTCTTTTCTTTTTTTGGTGGGGGGGATAGAGTCCTGGTCTGCACATCCAGGCTGGAGTGCAGTGGCACGATCTCAGTTCACTACAATCTCCGCCTCGCAGGTTCAAGTGATTCTCCTGCCTCAGCCTCCCGAGTGTCTGGGACTACAGGTGTACGCCAGCACACCCAGCTAATTTTTGCATTTTTAGTAGAGGTGAGGTTTCTCCATGCTGGTCTCCATCTCTTGACCTCATGATCTGCCCACCTCAGCCTCCCAAGGTGCTGGGATTACAGGCTGAGCCACACTACCCAGTCCCACCCTTTCAACCATCACTTGGATGCAGTTAATTCCCATAT